ATAAAAATGTTTCATGAGGCACACATGCGATCAGCTCGTGGGTAATGTAATTCGTTAGCATAACGCGAGCTGAATGTTCCCCGAGTGACTTACAACTTATAATGGTGCAGATAGTACTTAGACACGATTCAAAGGGCAATAAAACAATAAAATTTAATTATAAATAAATGTATACTGTTACGAACTTAGAGCTACTTAGGATAAACAAATGTAATTTCATGTTACAATTTGAAATCATTCTAGAAAGAAAAAAAAGAGTAATTTAGGTTTGTTTAAATTTTTTTGGTGGTTACAAGGTCGGTTGAATTGACCAATCCCATTTTGAGATAGGGTAGAGAAAATAACAGATAAAGTTTTACTGAAAAAAAATGCTTGAAATGCATTTAGGAGGTTTTAGGGATTACACAAAGGAAATTTGAGACGAGGAAAAGTATTTTTAATTATAGCATGAAAATTTACATTGCACATGGACTATTCAAAACAAATAATCAATATATTTATGGTCAAATCTTTATTTTATTTTATTAAAAATACTTCGGGCTTGCTATTCCATAGCATTGAGCCACATGGGAGTCAGCTGAGCCAGACTGAGAGACGAGATGAAAAAAAAAACACCAGACTGATGACATATTCAATTGGAGAAAGAATAGATGTCTCAACCCTGAGAATGAAGACTACCTTGGTTCTTTCTGAAAGTAGAATCAGGATGTAATGTTCTGACAATTGATAAGATGTTGCCAGCACTAACCAGTCGTCTTTGGAATGGTGTGTGCACAGTACGATGGAATAGAGATGATGAGAAAATAACTCCTCCAATAAGGCATAACCCATGTGAAGCCGATGAGAGTTCAAAGGTAAAATCCTGGAACTGTAGTACCCGACCCTTGTGCGCAAAAAATGTCTATATTCGTGGGACACCACCACTATGGCAATGTGCAGATAGGAGCTGACTACAATGAACTTGGACATCCACAATCCTAGTAAAAAATGTGAACTCAAATTGAAGAATAACTTGTGAAAATTGGAGAATCTAGACATTGACATAGATGAGAAAGATCAATGACTGGACTTCAATCACCAGTCTTCTGAGGCCAAACAACCAACAGGGAAATAGGAATCATCAAAAAGGTACAGAAACAATTTGAATCAAAACGCAAAGATTGTATTTTCAAGCCTACAACTAAGGACTCTAAAAAAAGTAAAACTAGGCTGGAAATTGTCTCTACGTCATTTTCTCAAGCTACAAATCCCTATTTTGATTCCATGTATATAGTCAAAATATGGATTTGTAGCTGGAGAAAATAATGTGTAGACACTATTTCCAGCCTAGTTTGCTTACTTTTATTTTTCAGAGTCCCTAATAGTAGGCTTGAAAATATAGTCTTTGTATTTTGATTCAACTCTTTTCTGTACTTTTATAATGATCCCTTCCCCCCTTTTTAAATTATCAATTTTTAATTATCTTGTTTCTTAAGTATTTTATGTCATATGTGCATATGCATTCAGTTGAATGTTACATGTTTTTCAACAATTCACTGCCGTGCAGTGGCTTTTTTTCCAGCCAGCCATTATTTACAGAGCCATGTAGGTTTGTGCCTGAGGTTTCGTGTAAATATGCTTTTAACAAGCATCAAGTACAAAGGCAGCTTTTCACAACAACATTGCATATATTATGTATTTATAGCCATGTAAATCAACTTTCAATGCAAAAATAATCAACTTTTTAAATAGGTCATGGATGTTTGCAACATTTCATATAATATATCTGTCTGGGTTTTGGTGCAAAATTATTCAACTGAAACAAAAATATTAATAATAATATACTAAAATACACATTCACAATTTCAGCAAAGTATGAAAATCAGTAGAATAAGTCACCACTCACAAGATTAAAGAAATCTACTATGGTAGTTGTGTACTGTTATAAAAGTCACTGAAATAGTCACAAAAAACCAGGTAAAGACAAAGTACTGCAGCAAACTCAAAAAACAATGAAGAACGGTGAACTTGAGAAATGATGAATCCTCAATGTGGAGGTTTCCAATTAATACACTATTATAAGTTAAACAAATTATTTTCCAATTAATGTGCATTAGTAAAACACTGGATTTTTTCAATGGCAGAAAGTAAAGGACTTAGAGAAATTCTTTAGGGTGAAAAAATGAAGGCTCTTGAATTTATTTTAAAACTACCCTATGTCATACTAAATACTGCATTCATTACTATTGTCCAAGTTTCAGTAAAACATTCATAGCTGTTTTTTATGTAGTGGCTTGTAAAACTATAATCAATACTAATATGGCTGGAGACACTGTTACAGATATACACACATTGTTTACTCTTGTAAAACGAAGTTGTTCTGAGTAGTATAAAATGGAGCATTTCTGACTAGTATAATGGTGCTTAAATGGCTTCTACATTTCTGCATTTGAATGGCTTTGAAGAGCTCATGTTGGTAGTGATAAAGAAATTAGAAAATCTTAGAGGGTGGAAATTTCAACTTTCAAGAATCAACTTAAAAATAGCCCTACAACCTTCGCAAGAGTTTGTTTGGTAGCCATGCATAAATTTTGCCATAGTATAAATATTTGTTTTTGCTGTAGGCTTTAGTGCTTGAATGGCTTTGAAGAGAAACTAATAAAACTAATGAAAAACTAATAAAATCTCTCCTTCTCTTTCAAGAATAAACACAAGTATAGTCCTATGACCTGCACTTGAGTTTTTTTAAGTAAATTTGCCCAGGTTTGAATAAAATATTCCTAGCTATTGTTTCTGTAGGCTTTTATGCATGTTATTCAGTTCTTTATTCAAAAGTGAATCACTGTTGCCTGTTTTAGTGCTGTGATATAATTAAAGTCTTTGCATCTCCAAATAAGTATTCAAACTTACTCTTCAATTTTTGACTTGTTTTGTGCAATTATAAGTTGCACAAATTATTTTCAAATTAATGCACATTAGTAAAACACAGGATTTTTTTAATCGCAGAAATGTGACTTGTTTTGTGCATGTTCCTGTACTTGGCATACAAGTTATCTTACAAACACAGTGGTCACACTAGCTTTTAAGATATCAGATTTGTTAAACACATGCCTTCTAAAAAATTTGTGTTTTCAACTGTAACACCTACTTTTTTACATATTGCATCAAAATAGTTATTTTTTAATGTAATATTATTTCAGATGTTGTTAGCATGCAAACAGTCATTCATCACATACAATACCTACTGCCTAACACTATGCATGTATGCAGCAGTATATAAAATACTGGATATCTCTAAGGCTGTAAATATTTTTGAAGATTTAGAAGCAATGATTTATTCATTTATCAGACATTAGTTGCAATAATACTAAGTACACTTTTTCTGATATCTTTTTCAAGACAATTCATTATTGTTTTACATGTTTGTGAGTTTATGACAATGTGGAGTCTTAAGAGTTGTATCTATAACTTTGCAGTCACTAAAATACTTTGTAATCAACTAAATGAAACATTAACTCATTTACAAGACAAATATGTACTTAGCTAAAGTAAAAATCTGGTATTTATGATGTATTTCAAGAAGTCTAAAGTTTAAGTCAACTTAAAAATTTGAATTAGGTAATTTATTTCATGAAATAAACCTTTTGATAATTAGAACTCACATGGTTTTAAAACCATTAGTGAATGGATAAGAATAGAAATAACGTTTCCATGGCTGAAAAAGTAAGCATGTTTTGCAATGTTTTTTTTTTCCCATTACTTGTAGATTGCAAGTCAAACACCCTAACCATTAGCCAACGCCAGGCCAGAACTAGAACGTCTGTTCAGATAATGTGTTACTGTGTTAACAACACTGTTTAACATCTTTATGTTAGCTGCAGTGATGTTTTATTTGATGATAATTCTATGTTGATCATAGCTGTTCTCATGTTGTTACATCACTTGCAGCACACATCTTGGAACAATATATCATAAATAATAACTGTAAAACTAAAAGTGAAACAGATTTTAAAGTACAACTTCTAAAATCTATTGTTTATAACTAATATTGACCTCAAATTTCCACATAAGAGTATTTATATGTCCAAAAACAAATAATATAATAACACATATTTTTGTTTACAACTCATTTTGATTGTTTTATTACTGAAAGCAATGACTTCTATATATAACTATGTTGAAGACCTCCATTACCCCTCCATCTAGGTAATCCTCACTTATTGTACTCTAATTGGTACTATAGTTGTACCATTATTTCATTTAAACAAACTCCTATACATTCATTTGCTCATGGGTCATTAGCAGATAAAATGGGAAGGGATTCATAATGGTTTTATTGACAACAATTTATTACTTTCTCAGAATGCCTATAGACTAAACAGTAGGCAGGAACTGGACAATTCTCCTCTTTGAGCTATGAACTAATTCCAACAGGCAAAGTGGATGCATTGTTTGTTTTCATTGTAGGAAACTGTTGGTTTTGGGGCAATACATTGTACTTGTTCATCAGCAGCATCTGTTGTGAACTACATAATTAAAGATACAAGTTCAACCATTTACTCTAGAACTATTGTACTTATAGTATACCGTTATAACTTATAACTTGAAGTTGAACAAGTTATACAAACTGTACACCTAACACTAACAGCATTACATTGCTACACTGTAGTGTAGGTGTCAATAACTAAAATAAAGTTACAGTTCCTGATACTTTAGTTTAATATATCAATCGTAACTGATAATGATACTATTTAAGTCATTTAGACAGTACTGCTAATACTGCTAGTATTACAGTGTTAGTTACTGTTAGTAATACTACTAGTACTATCAGTATTGCTAGTGTTAGTTTAGTGGAGTGACAGCTACACTATTTAGTCTATGATGTGAAGATCCAAAGGCAGAAAGGAAAGTTAAGCTACATTAATAACTCACCGCAGTAAATTAAATTAGTATCAAAAATTGTTTTGTTTTCAGGCATACACTGAGAAATTCCAACATAAAATAATTTTTTTGGAACTTACCAACGAGGCATCCTTTATCATACGAATTAACGATAAAATACAGACCTGCTAGCTCCCTCTGAAAAGTTGATTAAACGCAACCTTCGTTAAATATAAAAAAATAAACAAATAAAAGAGAATGCTTGAAACGATAATAATAGGATGCATTATACTAGTTTTAATATTAGTCGTAGTAAATATTGTAGATTGTAGGAAAATATTAATCCTAAATTCTATTATGATTTACTAAAACATTTTGGGATATAGAAAGTGGAAACTACTATCAAATGAGCAAAAATTACTGATGATGTACAATATACAATGCTACTAGTCAGAAAACTTGTTTGTTTGTAGTTAAGCATAAAGCTACAGAAAGGGCTATTTGCGCTTTGCCCACCACGGGTATTGAAATCCGATTTCTAGGATTGTAAGTCCGCTATTCCACTGGGGGCATTTAATATAGTAAAGAATGCACTCGAATATATATCTTTTATACTTATTTCCAAATATAGAAATATTTTTGGTTTAATTTTTTTTTTTTAAGTATTGAGATACTAAAATTTATGAAAAGTAATATTTTATGGCATAAAGACATATTATGCGTTTTGTAACATTTTACTTTGATGTATAATGTTTTATTTTCTAATTTATTCTAATTTATGCAATTTTCGCATAACACGTGGTAAAAAAAAGTCGTTATGTTGACTTCGTTCCACTTGCCTTTGTTTCTTTTGTTATTCTCTGGAAATTATAATTGTTCTACCAATGGAGACAATACTGTAGTATTCCATTTCACTTTGTGCAAGAACGTCAACAGTCAAAGTACTCCAATGGTAAATCAAGTCATATCTCAAGATTATGCCTCCCTAAGTTAAAAGAAAATGATCTGTCACGTGAGTAATACTATTCGCTATGAGTAAATCTGGCATTTCCCATTAGGTGAGAAATGTTATATTTAAATATTTATACAGGTGATCTGAACTGAGTTGGGTGACGGGAATGCATCATGAGAGAAGAAAGCCAGTTGATGAATTCATGAATCCAGTGAAATGGAACTGTCCAGTGTCCAGAAAGAAAGTGTACTCACTGTGTTTTTGCCTATGAATAAATTAATATTTATTTAATTTTATGTTACACATCATCTCTGGTCTATTTACCTATTCATTTAAAATCAGTTAATTTAATTTAATTCAGCATTACTACCTAATACTCTATGAGAAAATCAGTTTCACCCATTAATACCACGGAGTAAGTAAAAAGTAGAAATGTCAAAGTCGCAACAAAGATATTATTATAAAGTTTTATGCTTTTACTAATATGCGTATTGCTCTTACTGAAACTATTGTGTAATATGAGTTTAAAATAATGCATCTGACTTGAAGAATGGCATTTTCTGCAAGAAAAAGTTCTCACAACGAAGATAGACAGTTTGCTGTTGAAGAGCGATGGTTGTACAAAAGAGATGATGAGTCTAGGAGAAATCCTTTACTGGACATGGGACTCTTACTGAAGATGAGAATGTCCATAATATTGATCTATATGCAGCTACAGACTCAAAATGATCAGCCAATATCTGATGTACCCAAAACAGCAAATCTAATGTTACTCCTGAGGATCGATCTCAACATGAAGGAAGCACTGATGACTGAGGGTTGGTAAGACGGATTAGTACTTAGTGAGTGCAAGACTGGATAGGTCAGTCTCAACAGAACTCCCAAGCCATCATCAACCAGAATAACAACCCCAGTCCCAGTGAAGACCAGTTAAGAAGGGCTGGTTGTGGCATTGAAAGATGAGGACTGCCAGTCAGTGTTGTTTTTCCAACAGACGAGACAGCGGGAACTAACCACAAAAAAAAGACCACAAGCTATGGAGCCATCAGAAGACTTTGAGCTGGGAGATATCATGACAGGATAACCATTGATCATGAAGAAACCTGGAGTCATGTAGAACTTCAGGATATACTATTAAAAGCAATTCATTATTTTATCAACATGGACCATGAAATTATTATAGTCATCTGATAGTCATGGTCACTGAGTACACTCACTACCTCATACCCAGACACTGGTGGCATTTTAATCAAGTATTTGGCCAAAAACCCACAAAGGAAAGCCTTTCCCCAACATTATAAGTCCATCTGAATGATTCCAAGTAGATTTTTTTTTCAATGCTAATAAGTGTGGCAAAAGAAAGATATAGACTATTTTCTGAATTGTTTCAGGTAGATAAGTGGTCTAAGGGTGAACATTTGGATGAGATGTAACCTAAAGACTGGGAAATAATCATGGCTGAGCTGTGCTGACTAATTGACCCAGTAGAAAATCAAGAGATCCATCATCAGCTGAGTTTAGAGTTCAGTAGGCTGGCCACTTATTCAGATGATCTATGCTATTTGCATGGTAAAACTTACATTTTGATGGCTTCATAGAAGGATTTTCTGGCACGATGATGAGAGATTACCCAAACATTGGCACTTTTCATTATGACCAGGTTCAAAGTGGTAACTTTGATCCAGCTGCTTGAAAGAAAGAAATCTACAGCTGTATCTGCTGTGGCTACACCTACAATGGACCATCCTGCCTGGATATCTTCAGCATGCCAAAATGAGCCATGCTGAGGGCTAAACAGCCACTCACACATATATCATGGTGCTGGGATTTAACCAAACTGTTTCCAGTGAATTAACAGTGCTATCCTGGTCCACACATGGTTTACAGGCTGCAGCCTATACTGTTAATGGCTCCACTTTACCATAACCATGAATGACAGGAGCAAAGCACTTCCTCACTTGTAGTATGTAAGGTCAGTGACAAGTAAATTGCCAATATTTTGTCAAGCAGCAAAGCGTGTAAGGCTATTTATTCCAACCAATGGATCAGCAGGTGCTGCAAAGCCATCATTGGTCATGCTTTGCCAAAAAGCAAAGTTGGCAAGGCTATTTATTCTAACCAATCACTCAGCAGTTGTGGGAGATCCAGCAGCACCCCTTCTTGGTTGAACAGCAAAGTAAGCAAAGCTATTGGTATCAACTATTAACTTAGAATGTATAGGAGATTGAACAGCAAGTACAAAATGCTGCTGGTACAACTTTATAACACTAATAGACCCTGAGGCAGCTGTAGACAACTACTTGAGGGGGAGGAGGAAGAGTTCATCAAACAGAGTGAACCAAAAGGTTTGTTAATCAGCCAAATTCTTTCTCAGGGCTGGCTGGAGCTCGATTTCTACATGTGAGGGTACAAGGGTAAGAGTTCGAGATCCTGGCTGGCTGGCACAGAAGCAGATAGAATTGTTACGTATCTGTTTGTTAATTGATTTTCCGTAAATTCGTTCCGACGAAACTTTAGCGACACAAGTCCTCTCTTAAATAAAACTGGTTTATTCTTTCCGAATACAACTTTACGATACACTCAACTTCAACAGTCGAGCTATAACAAACTATAATTCTCGTCTCACGAGCTCGACTTCAACAATACGTCTCTCTCTGACTGCAGTTCAATTACTCATTACCTACACACATTGTCCCGTCACGTTGTGACTATCCCCAATCTAGTAAATGCTAGGGCATTCACGAAGGAACATCATATTTCTAGAAAGCAGGTGGTGTGACAGTAGTCACGTGACCTCGCTGACGCAACAGAATACTGGAATATCTTACAATATATCAAACCATCCAAAAAAAGACATAATCTAATCATATAGTGAACTGTACGTGTTTCCATGTTGTGGGCTTGAGAGATGCATTATGACAAGTTACTTTTCTTGCAATATGGTTATCTAATGTTCTATTGCCCTTCAAGATTTTTAACGCTTGCTAACCATATCAGTGAAGCATGGTCCATCTAGACAGTGAACTGCTTACGATGAATGTAGTGGTGATATCATATTATGGAGACTACAACTGTAAGCAGTGTTTAAGACTCATGAAGATTGAACAATCTACACTATTACACATACTAATCTCCTGCAATTCCATTATCACTGGCATCAGTATCCAATAGGAATTCACTATCTTGTCGTGGATATGCCAGCTCTGGATCCTCTATTAGAGCAAACTTTAGAAATTGGAATGCTTGTTACATTCTTAGTTCCATATAAAGTACATCCCAGCATTAGTGAAAGCAGACAATGGAGCTGCTATCTTGGAAGCAAAAAAATATCTTGTCATTGTTATATGGAATGGAATTAGCCTTGTTTTTACCAAATAGTTGAACATAACCAACCCAACAAAAAAAAAATTACAACACTTGTTTATCTATAATAGATGAATCTAACTGTATTGGTCCCTAAGCTTTTCATCTAACAATAAATATCAGCTATCCTAGTTATGCATCTAGCGAGTTTTGCGTGCTCAGCTTCGCCAAAATTACACTACAACTCATTAGATAGACCAAGAAATTATTGCAAAACATGTGACCAACGTCTCGCTACTAAATATCTCTCAGTAACTCAAAAAGTAATGGTTGCAACATCCTTCCAATTGTCGATTTTACGTTCAACCACCTGATCTTATTTTAAAATAATCAAGATGTTATCATTATACGTATTGCACATACATCATATTGCAAAATACCACTTGTTAATTCTGAAAGCAGGGGATGCTACCTCTTTCCAGTAACTAATTTTTTATCCCACTAGCCATCCTAGCTAGATATGTTTACTTCTCATTTGTCATCCCATTTAACACTGACAAGATTAAATTTTCATACTCACGCTGTAATTAAATGGTGTGGAGAGATACCTGCTTCCTGCTTCTCTACCATTGTGCAATTGAAAGGATGTGTACAATGTGGTAGACTTTCACCTACTTCTGAAGGTCTGGATATGAGTGCATTTTTATGAATGCAGCACCCTTGGTGACTGAGCATGAGATACGACCTTTTAATAGTAGGCTCTCTTCATTATATATGCTATCCTTTGTGAATATATTACTATGATTGTTTTTGTGATGAATAAAGATTATTTTATTTTGTTAAACACTGTATTCAGTCTTTAATACTTCAAGCACAGTTAAAGACAGATAATTCAGCTTTACTGAGTGATACATTTTTTTTTCATATCTCCTGCTATTCTGAGGAACCTACCTGTCACTTATGGCAGAAACCAGTGCACCTATAAATACCACATATGAATGAAAATTAATGCAAAGTAATAATTGTATATGTATTATTTTGTGCAAATTCCAATTTCCATCCTTTTATCTTTGAAAAAGTTATAATGTTATCGAGAGCATCTAAATGCTGTTGTTATAAACTGTATTTTCTATAGACGTGACGTCAAGTTTTTTCTAGTATATTCGAATCTAGATTATAAATAAGATATAGTTGTCAAGTGTGTCGAGTTTTTCAACATAGAGAGTTGAATCAGTCATTGTGTTTTCGTGGATTATTTGGATCTGTGTTTACTGTCATGCATATTGGGTAGTGAAAGTACTGTTACGTCTCCGTTCGTTAGTTAATTTCCGTAAATTCGTTCCGACGAAACTTTAGCGACACAAGTCCTTTCTTAAATAAAACTGGTTTATTCTTTCCGAATACAACTTTATGATACACTTAATTTCAACAGTCGCTCTATAATTCTCAACGAACGTCTCACTTGTTCGACTTCAACAA